GTATCGGCAGATACTCAAAGTTGAAGTATCGGTATCGGAAATCAAAAAGAGGTATCAGTCCATCCCTAGTATATTGTATACTGAATTTGAATGCTGATTTGATTTGAATTTGGATTTGATTTGATTTGAATGCTGTTGTTTTATTGCTGATTTTATGTTGGCGTTGTGTTGTTTTTTGGTGTAGCAATTTCCCTGAGGTCTTGTACCGAAGGAATTAATAAAGTTTTATTCTATTCTATTCTATTCTATTCTATTCTATTCTAAAGACCACGAGGTGGACGTTTGCTGCTCACTTACCTCGGCTGGCAGCAGGAGCAGCTTGCACCAAAACCATGAGCAGCATATTTGTGTGTTTATCTGACTACTTCTTAAGAAGATTTCTTAAGCCAAGACTCTGAGATGACAAAGAGGTCAGGATTTGCAGTGTTGACATATGCAGTTAACTCAGCTATTTTGGGGAGGAGAATGCGTATATTTAAATGCATAAAACCAAGGCCTTTGCGAGTACAAAAACTATCAAAGGTTAATGATTGCATGGCAGGAGATTCAGATATGTTACTGACTGGGCCAGGATTGGGTTGAATATTCCCTGATATCAACAGCAAGAGAAAGGTCAGACATTTTAGAGTTACAGAAGGTTGCACGCTCCTGGGAAAGAGGTTCTGTTCCCTGTACCATGATGTTTACTCCTGATTTGAAATGTTTAGCTTATGCTTTTAACATTATGGGTGGTTTGTTTGATTAACATTGCTCTGTTTATTATTTCCACATGCATGTTCAATGAAGAATTGCTTGCTGCACGTTAAAGCAATGAAGAGCAGCTTACACCTACCTGCATACATATAGGATGCTCAACACAATGAAGACCTGCTTACATATCCACTATACGATGATGAGATTTTTTATTTGTGTTGATATAATAGAATTATATCAAAAGGGGATGTCAAAAAAATCTGCTCAGTTGTATTGCACCTTATGGTGGATGATCACTTGCAGTTTGGGGCCCTGTGGAGTTGGTTACCACTGACAGATGTGATACAGCTGAGCTAACATTCCTACCTTCATTTAATTGACATGATAAAATCATGTCAAAAGGGGGAAATGTTATAATTAAGTATGTTTGGAGCTATTATGTATTCTGAATCTGTATTTTGCACTGAGCCTATGATTCTGTTTCGTATTTTCCTACTGAGAACAGCATACGTCCTTGAAGATAACATGGCTGGTGAGAACCGGTTCACACACTTGGAGATAGCAGAAACTCGCTCTGTTCTATCAGATACAATTGTTACTTTAGCTACACGCCGCACCAACAACATCCACACATGTTGCTTACCAAATATCAAGGACGTGGACAGAGCGCAGAAGAGGTATGCCTGTCCACGCCATTGGTAACTGTAGCGTACAAATCTTATCTATGTTCGGGGCAGTTCCAGCCCAAGAAGATATCTGTAACCTGGAACCGAAAAACCTCAGTTCAGCTGGACGTGAGATTCCTCTCTGTCCCTCTGAATTCCAGCACTGCCTTACTTTACCTGTGGCTGAAATAAATACATTCTACAACTGAGAACAGATTTCTCTGGCTTGTTCTTGGGCTTCCAACAAAAGAATCGGATCTAACAATTTTGGTGCTGCGACTCAGATTGGTTGACTCTGAGACCACGTCCGATTGAGGAGTGCCGGAGTCGATTGGCGGTGAGTCTTTTTCAGACAATTCCAGGCACCTAAAACAAAAAGGTGAGCAGAAAACCTCTTTTCTACTTGAAATTTCTGCACATTGGACATACCAAAAGAAATTGTCTGAATAAGATTAATCTCTGATCACTAAAAGCACAGTAGTTTTCTATTGGGGAATGATTAATAATTGTTGGATATTTTTTACTGAAATGGTCACATGTAAAGTGAAATGAGAAAAAAAAAAAGAAGAATTCCGGGGATTAGCCCGATGAGAATAATACCGGGGATTAGCCCGATGAGAAAAGAATTCCGGGGATTGGCCCGATGAGAATAATACCGGGGATTAGCCCAGTGAGAAAAAAGAAGAATTCCGGGGATTTGCCCGATGAGAATAATACTGGGGACTAGCCCGATGAGAAAAGAATTCCGGGGATTGGCCCGATGAAAAAAAAGAATTTCGGGGACTGGCCCGATGAAAAAAAAAAAAAGAATTCCGGGGATTGGCCCGATGAGAAAAGAATTCCGGGGATTGGCCCGATGAAAAAAGAATTCCGGGAATTGGCCAGATGAGAAAAGAATTCTGGGGATTGGCCCAATGAAAAACCATCCATCCACCCATTATCTATACACCGCTTAATCCTCACTAGGGTCGCGGGGGGGTTGGAGCCTATCCCAGCTGACTTAGGGCGAAGGCAGGGGACACCCTGGACAGGTCGCTAGTTTATCACAGGGCTACACTTAGAGACAGACAACCAAGCACAC